ACCATTGGATCCTTCGGTACCGAGATTCGTCTCTCAAAAGAGGACAACACAGATGCTGTCTTTGGCAACCTTGCGGCTCCCGCAGCAGACACCAGCCCTGTACCAAGCACCGCAATGGCAGCCGGCGCCGGCGCCGTTGTCGCTGCCGCTGCCGCCCTGATCTGAGCAGASAAGTAACAAGCTTGAAGAGACTTCGATATTACACAGAGAGAGAAAAACTACATATTCCAATCAATACATGTTCAGGAGCCATAAGATACATCATCGGCTGTACAAAACAAACCAAATAAAATCAAAAAAGCAAGAAAAATAAAGAAATGTGACGCGGGGAAGTGAGTTCCGGGAAGAGACCGTGATTATTATAGTAAKGTAGGAGGAGTACGGTACGTACGAGTTACTCATAATAAGATAGGAACACTTCAATACTACATCTACTGTAATGTCTACCAAATTTTGTCGGAACAGTAGAAACAAAAATGCTGCCAGGCAAGTGGCGTGCCTAACGTACGTACCTGGTACGGTACGTACAGTGTGCAGTGCAGTTCAGTGCAGTTCAAAACAGAACGCTTCGTACTTTCATTCTGCAATCCGAATGGGAAACCACGAGCAACACGAAGATGCAGCAGCTACGGTACGTAMCGTATGCATGTCATCGTCACGCGGACTACAGCAACCCATCCATCTTAGCGATACAGCGTACGGTGCAGCGTAGATCTAGCCACCAAAGTCGCCGAACGCCGTCCAACAAACCACAGTAGCACAACCAAAAGTGTCCAACAGGAACCGCAACAAACAGCAACAGGAACCGCAGCCCCAAACATGCTGCAGCAGCACCGATCTTCGTACTACGACGACCAGCTGGGAACGGCTCGCGTTGCCGCCGCCACGGTCGACGCACCCGACGCAAAGGCCTCCCCGCGTGCCCCCGGGAGGGCCCGGTCGGCGGTGCTGGTTTTCCTGGCGGCGGCGTGGGCAATTGCCGTCGCCGTCGCCGTCGCCGTTGTCGTTGCCCCCCGGTCCCTCCGTCCCGGCAACAGCAAGGGCAACGCCAAGGGCAACGCCAAGGGCAACGCCAAGGGCAACAGCCGCAGCGGGGTCCGGGAAGCGACCGCGAAGGCGGCCAACGGCGCGGGCCTCCCCTCCGGAGGCCCGGAGGCCCCGCACGGCTTTCCGAGCGACGGGCCCTGGCACGCCTCCTGCCACATGTCCGTCGTTCTGCCGGACACGGCCTGCCCGGACGCACTGGCAGCGGCCCTGGAASTCATCGAGGCCAACGTCGACACGGGAACGGAATTCAAGGGGACGATGTCGGTCTTCGACAGGGGAAGCGACTGGATATGGAGCTCCAGGCTCACCTACGACCGGAGGTACACCGACGACCAGCTCTTTGGGTTTGCAGGGGCTCCCGGCGACCCCTCGTCCTGCTTTTTGGCGATGCGGTCCCGGTCCCGGTCGAGGAGCGTGCTCGACTACGGGGTCAACTACTGCAACATGTGGAACGTGGTTTCGCGGCTGCCCGGATTCGAAGGGGCAGGGSCCCCCCTGGTGTCCGAGTGCTACTCCCGAAACGTCCCCTCCGATCCGGTGGCGACCTGTGCCAGGTACTRAACAACCAACTACTGCAATGAAGTACTGTACTACCGAAACGAACCAACTGACTGGCTATGGTAACTAACTKACTGACAATGGTAACTAACTAACYAACCAACCAACGAACTGACTGACTGACTGACCAAGGCCGGATTCCGTAGTTTGACACCCAGCCTAGTCTTTTTTCCGTTCGCATGCTGTGCTGTCTACCGAGCTGCCACTGCCACAACCACGGCAGACTGCACACGCTTCGTGCTCGCACCAACCGTGGCGCTCCTTTGCCCGGCAGCGAAGGCAACAGCTTCCGGCACAACGAAGGCAACAGCTTCCGGCACAACTCGCCAACCGTTCCCCTCTACAGTATCTGCACGTGCGTGTACGGTATTCGACTCCGATCCGGTGTCGTAACATGCAATGCCACTCGTGTCGTTCCGGCCTCCGACGGATGGAAAGAACCGGGATCGGGAACAGAACAATCGACACACACGCKTCGCAACCCGACCAGAAGAAGACCTCTCTGTTCCACCCACCGCGCGTTCCTCTGTCGCTCGTTCTGTTCCTTCTCGTTTCCACACGACGCAACGCAACGCAACACAACGCAATGCAATGGCCACTCCGTTCTGTTCCGTTCCGTCGCACCCTCTCTCTCTCAATCTCCCGTGCGCGCTAGAGCCTGCCCTCTCCGGCCATCTTGCAGAGGCCCCCGATCCCCAGGACGCCGATCGGGAGGCCCACCAGCCCCACAAAGACGGTCTCCACAAACTCGCCCTGCTTCCTCGCGTGGTTTCTGCTTCTGCTTCTCGTTCCGCATCCGCTCCCGTGTTCGCCCAGCGTCTTGAGGTAAAAGACCGACGAGACCGATCCGGTCGTCGCCCGCCGCTGGATCAGCCTGGCCGCGGCGGACGCTGGTCTGGCCGGGGGCACCAAAGCGAAGGACCTCCTCGCGGCGGAGGACGCCGACGCCGCCAGGGCCCTTCTCGTGTAGGCAGCAGCTGCGAGGGGCATTCCCGGCATGTTTCGCTGCTTGGTTGTTTGTTTCGTTGTTTGGTTGGGTTGGGTTGGGTTGGGTTGGGTTGGGTTGGGTTGTTTGCGTGCAAGGGATCCGATCCGATCCGATCCGATCTGGTGCTCTGGACGTCGTTCCCTTTGCGAGATTAGCTGGGAATCCCTTTGTGTTTGGGAGTTGCGGGCGGAATGGAATGGAACAAAAACCGTTATTGTTATCGCACGGTACGAGCACGAGTTATTTGGAGAGAAACATATCTCTCCGTCGTTGCCGYGCTGAGTTGGTTTGGAAAATTGATTGACATGATCTGCTTCGGTGCAGTGGGAGTCGAAGGTGTCAGSACTGGACGACTGCCTGCACAATTCGTACCGTACAGCTACCGGTACGAGTACCAACAATGACTCTAAATTATTTTTACCCCTAACCCTAAAATATGTAAGTTGTGCCTTTGTACCGTACTTGTTCGTGCATCGCATCTAGTGTGTTCAATTCTGTATCGTACAAGTACGGTGCGTTCGAAAAGTGCAAGGAATCGACCAGTCCCGAGTCAAATTCTGTTGTGAATACGGTTTCTGTCCATCGTACGGTATTCCGGCTTCGCTGACATCCACAGCGCAAGATGAGACAGACGAAGCAACGATGACCCAGTTTGAGTACCAGTACATGTACCCGTAYGTACCTCCTCGTAGGAGCCGAACGTAGCCAATCCAACCATTCATCTACCGAATTTTAGTTAGCCACAACAACATACACAATACACAATACAGTAATACACACAGTAACACACAAGACATCAACCACACCAAAGACAGCAGCCGCGTTGGCGCAGCAACCACCACCACCACCACCACAACAACAACAACAACTACTAGTACTACCAACACCATGGCCACGCGTGGCGTCTTCCAGTGCCGAACCCTGACCCTCCGGTACTGCGAGCACGGGGGATCCTCCCGGGCCGTCCGGGAGTACCTGGCCAGCGGGAAGCTCCTCGAGTGGGCCTCGGCCCGGCCGACGGTGGAGGTCCGCGTCTCGGTCGCCAACGGGAGRCACCCGAACCTTTCGGCCGGCTACGAGACGCAGGCGGTCAGCAACAAGACCGCCGCCAACCACGGGGTGGCCTCGAGGCCCGTCCTGCACCAGGTCTGCCTCCGGAGCAAGGGGGCTTCTTCGGGCCCGGACGAAAAGGCGGCCCTGTCGGAACGAGGGGGGACGGGMACGGGACCGMTCCCAAAGCACCCCGTCGAGGCCGCCCTGGAMAAGCTCTACAACAAGAGCGGCCGGAAGATGACCAAGTTCACAAAGCCGATCTACACGCAGACGCCGTCGATCCAGGGGGTCTGGACCCCCTCGCTGGACCTCCACCTGATGGGGGAGGCAAGCGGCGGAAGCGGGAGCGACGGCTTTGATCTCACCATTGTCACCACGGAGGCCTAGCGGGGACGGGCCGGGTGGTAGAGTGCGGTGTGGTGCGGTGCGGTGCGGTGCCTGTGGTAGAGAGCAGTGCACCGGAGTGCAAGTGCGGTGCAGGTTCACTGTCGAACCAGAAAACACGGCGGCCGGCTGCCGCTGCGCCGGGTCGAGTGGAACAGGGTGCAACCAAATGCAATCGAATCGAATGCAATCGAATCGAATMGAATCGAACGAGGGACAGAAAAAAGGGAACATCGAAAGCTCGAGCTGGTGCTCTTGCCACCAAGAGAGAAAAATGTTTGAGACACGGAACGGTTTGCCTTGCGTTTCGCTCTTGGCCGGTGTGGCATAGCTGAGAAAAGGAATCGCAATTCCAATGGCAATCGCTATYGAGACGATTGGMRGAAGATGGAACCACGGCAGAAGGCAGTATTGATGCGAACGGAGTCTTTCGAATCGGGATCTAATGGCACACAGAATAATGAATTTTTACGAGACATGYTTCTTCGCACTATTCCTCGTCGATAATGATCGACCGACTTTAGTACCAAATCATTTCGTATTCAAAATATCACCACTCGGGATATAACAATAGCAYAATGGATGGTTGCTTCATTCGTTGAGGAATCCATCCCTTGTTTCGCGTCTCTCGTTTCGTTTCGTTTCTTTCGTTTGTCTTTTCGTACACCACTCTCGGATACCAAGAGGACGAATGAAAAACGAAAATGGAAGGATTTCGTACCACAAAAAGGGCGGTGTGTAAAACGGGTGCAATGAATCGGTTTTGCGTTGGTCGTGTATGGGTTTCGACGGGCTCGCGTTACTTAATTCGTATGTTACAAAGATTTCTTAAAAACTATTTTAGCCGCTCGTCTCGTCCGGTGACACGCATTTCCGGAAACGTCTGCCGCGGGTCTAGAATCGAGCAGGCCTTGGCTTGGCACCGGAGTCAAAGAAACAATCCATCGATCTTCGATGGTTGTGTCCACCCGATTCGGTCCGTTGCCTTGCAATGCATACATACGACAGGAGAACAGGAAACAATGGCGACAGGAAACCAACCGCGGCGCCGCRATCGACTCTCCCGGCCCTCTACAGACCGGCCACGGTTGCGGCAAGGACAACACCCGAGGCGGCAAGCCCGAGGGAAGAAACAAAGCCACCGCTGTCCATCTCAAAATCCTCGACCAAATCACTRGTGACGTTGTTGAAGAGGTCCATGTCCGAATCTTCGTCGGTGGCCTTGAGGTTGTCGCAGCCGACGCCGCTGCAAGAGCAGAAGAAGCTGCCACCGACGCAGTTGCAGGTCCAGAAATCGCAGTCTCCGCAGACAGTCCCGTCGGGCTTTTGGGCGTAGTGGCACATCTGGCCAGAGCTGGAGCAGGTGTCGCCCGTGACGGGCATCACCGCCGGAATGGGGCAGCTTGCCGCGTTCGCGGAGGCGGCGAGGGCGGCGAGGAGAAGGAAAGGGGTGGCGCGGATCATCGTGGCAGGAGAGAAGATGTGAAAACAGAACGGATTTCCAGATGTCGGCTGGTTTGGGCTCGAGCAAAAGTTTTTTGTGTTGCTTGAGTGAGGCAGTAAAATGGAGATTGAAGGTTTGACGATCGAGTGCGGAGGCGCATGCCAAAAATGGTACTGTAAATACGTAATGGTACGAACGGACGCTGCGTACGAGCAAGTACGAGTACGAGTACTTTACTCGAATCCGTATGACGGGTGATACAATATCGACATACTGGTACAGCGGGCGGTTCTTTTGCTCTTGTGGAGGACCCTCTACGGGAATCATTCTTTTTTCCCGGAAGCCAAGGTTTCGAATGTTGCACAGCGATGGTGTTAAGGGGGTGCAACGCCGAACACGTAGGGGTTCGTTTCTGTGTACGGGTACAGTACGTTTATACAGTAGCTTTTACTAAAACTGATTCAAGCTTAAGTCGGGGTTGTCAAAAGAAGAATAAAAGAACCAAGAATGGAAGATTTCTGACACCATACAATATCATTGGTTGTGAGCCTAAATCACGAGTAGATAGTGAATAAGCTCACTCTTTATTGTAAACCACGTATTATCATACACTAGAGAGCCTATCAGCATTTCGCAGGTTATTGGGCATTTCGCATTGGTCACATCATGCCCGAGATCGTAGCTTCGGAAAAATTCTTGTCTCGTATCTGCGTTTCGTTGCGTACGTACGGTACGGTATGTCTCCTATTATCATCACCTTCTTTGGTGTTAGTGTGTCTCGTTTCAGCATCTCAACATGGTCGGCCTCTTTCTTGTCAGCGTGTAACAAATTATCAGTACCCATCTAGAACAAAGATCACTGCTGGCTGCTCTTGTTGGTTGCTGCGGTGCTTGTTTGTGTTGAATCTATGATGATATTATTCTGCTGTGGCATCATTTTTGTGCAAAGCAGCTCTACATGGGGACGAGCATCAGTGAGTTGTGACTATCCAGCAGTGTAAATAGCAACCGCAATCACATTAGCCATGATCAAATGAACATGCCAGTGGCTTCCCAGAATCCGGTCCGTTCGTGTGGTATGGATGGTACGAGACAGTTATAAGCAGTTCAGAATAATTTCTCGAGGACTCGAAACCCAGTCGGTTTCCTTTGTTGAGGTTGTGAATGTCGACGAAACGGAATGGTAAGCATTAAGATTGACGATGTGAATATGGACACACTGATCGATTGCGATATGATATCAGCTATCGATGTGGGCCGGTAGTCGCGATACGGAAAGATCATTCGTGTCCTCCGCAAATTTTTTTTGCAGTTGGTTGTGTGAAATGCTAATAGGCTCCTTAGTGTACGATAATACGTGGTTTACAATAAAGAGTGAGTTATTCACTATCGATTCGTGATTTGGTGGTTACTGTCTCACACCTCCCCGCACTTGCACAATCTAGAGAGTCGAATGAGTCAAATCTGCAAATATTTAGCAGATCTTGAAGAGGATCTAGATTAGTGCAAGTGGAAGAAATTTTTCGCACTGTAGGGGGTGTGTTAACTGCAATACCCTCAATAATTGAGGGGGTTTGAGTGCTTGACAGTGAATAGGGTGGTCGGACACGTCCCATGAGTATGTCAGTGTGTTCATAGAATTTTGTGCGACCAGTGGGTTTGCTCAGTGAGTCACTGTAATTTGAATCCGAGCGTGTTTGGATATACTCAATTAGTTCATCATCAGTCCATTGCAATATAACGAAGTGTTTCATTTCCACATGTCTGGTTCGTCGAGTAGGTTGTTGTGCATTAGCCATTCTTACGGCTCCATGGTTGTCTGCCAAAATTGGTGTTGCTGTTGGTTGTGGGATCTGCAGTTCATCCAGGATCCATCGTAAGTAAATAGCTGCTTTGCCAGCATCCACCATGTTGGTAAATTCTGCTTCAGTGGAGCTTTGTGCTATGGTGGGCTGCAGTCTGGTGCGATAATAGACAGCGGCACCAGCTAGCATCATGATAATGCCCCCCATTGATCTTCTTTGCAGTCGATCAGATGCCCATGTGGTATCACATGCACCATGAATATGGAGGGGATTAGGGTTCTGGTAGAATTTTTCTAGTGTATTTTGCTTAGATTTTGGAGTGGGATGTGGTTTTTGTGGTAAGTCATTCCGGGGAGCAGGTCTCCAATATGTGAGGCCTTCGAGTTTCGTAGCCAGCAAATATGAGTAGACCTGTCGTACAGCTTTGTAGTGTATCTTTGCAGGGCAATGAGAATGCTGGCTTAGGGTAATGACTGCAATAGATATATCAATGCGACATATCGTAAGGGCATAGATCAGTTCCCCTATGCACTGGCGGTAGTTAAAGCCCATTGTTTGCTGTAATTTAGCGGCTTCATGTGGATCTGTCGAGCCTTTAGTTATTTGAAGGAGTCGTTGGTACTGGGAATCCTCTCGCATTGGTGTGGGCCGTTTCCTAGAGGTTGAGTTACTGGTGTTCCAGCCATGGTGGGCACAGATTTTCTCAATATATTTGCTACAGTGAAGGTGATTGGTGTAGTCCCGTGTTTGTTCAACATGTATACCATTGAATTTTCTGATAGTGCCCAGGATGTTAGTAAGGGGATTGGACATTCTTTGTTGGATATGGTCGCGTATGGTGTCACATACTGATTCGTGTTGATTGGCAATAAGAAAATCATCCACTTGGCGGAGGATCATGGTGAGGCCATTATCATCATGTTTATAGCGTCACAAAAAGTGTTCGCGGGGTTTGGTCGCAACCCCGCGCGTGTAGTTTTTGTGCGACCACTTAACAC